CAGGGCAAGGAGCCTGCCCCGGTGGATAAGGATTCAAAGGTGTGTGAGGCGGACCAGGCTGCGCTGCAGGTGAGCCGACGTTTTTGTATTCTGTTGCCCTTGTTTACATTCTGGTGTTTCTGTCTTTCGGATCATTGTTAGTGTCTGAATTTATATTTAATGAATGAATGGGAAGAAGAAAGTCTTTGAATCCTTGGCATCTTGACTTCAGCATGTCCAGTTCGGGCATGAGAACAGAAGGGATTTATCACTTTTTAAAAATTTTCCAACTTTCTTTATTATATTTTAAAATATATATTTGTATATGAAATCATATTGGGTCAATGGTCATTGGAAGCTACTTTCTCTATTGAATCATGTGAATGTGTTATGTAGAGAGCTTAATATGTTTTAATTATTTTTTTTTTTGGAAGTCAGTTTTACTGGTGATATTGAAGCCCTTCCTTAGTCTAGAAAATCATCTTTCTGTTTAATATTTTGACTTAATCAAGATGCTATCGATGTGCAGTAATTAATATCTCGCCTCTTTGGGCCTTCTGCCCTACTTAAGTCTTGGTTTCCAAAACAGTATTTTCATACCTTTTGAGCAGTTTGAGCGGTTATTTTTACACATTATACAGCTGTTAGGTAAAAGAGTCTCATTAAGCAAATCCTGAATGCATGAGCTTTGGTGAATTTACTTAACCTTTTTTTTTTTTCAAATAAGATCATCTTTAATATTTAACAACCTATAATTATCTGATTTTAGAGGTCAGGCGTTTGGTGAATAAAAGCTATAATCTGTGGACTCTTTGGCTTTTAACTGGAAGTGTACAGTGAAAAGAAAGGGGGCAATGTGTTTTGGTGTGAGGAAAGAAATTTATGCGGTGTTTTTTCTGAAGCAGTCTCATCTGTGTAATCATATTTTAATTTATTTACCACTAATCCTGTATTGGAAAGTTATACATGTTTTTATTCTTTTTTTTCTTTTTTAGATTTATGTGATAAGAACTATTGAGTGGTTGAAGTAGGAGATTAAGAAACTTTGTGGAATTTTCATTAGTGTTTTCAATTTTGAATGCACAGTAAAACGAATTTAGAAAGTGCAGTCTTCATATTATAATAGAAAGAACAGTAATAGAATGATCTGCTTTTAAATGTGCATTTTCCAACTTCCAGAGAAGGAAATTTTTCATGTAAAATTAATTCTATTCCATAGATATATGAAATATGTTTTATTGTTATGTACTGCAGATACCACAGTTACAAAATGTGGACACTAAGACAAAGTCTATATTATTCTTAAGAAGGAATAGTATTTGTCTGTCTTGTGTTCTTTTAGGCTTTGTGACAAATAAAGGACTGGTTGAACTTTATAAAATAAACTATAATATTTGAATAAGTATTATTAAGGAAAATATTTTAATAGCTATTGTTAGGGGAAAATAGAAGTTCTGAAACCAAATATGGTAAAGTGGTTACTAGCCTGTAGATAACATATTTTGAGTTGTTATTTTGCTGTGAGCAGAGGACTACTGAGAAAAGCTGGACGCATACAAGTCCATGGGGACAGATGGGATGCGCCCGAGGGTCATGAGGGAATGGGCTAATGTGACTGCAGGGCCATTGGCCACCATCTTTGAAAATTCGTGGTGATCAGGAGAGGTTCTGGATTACAGGAAAAGGGCAAACATAGTGTCCATATTTAAGAAAGGGATGAAAGAAGATACAGGGCACTACTGACTAGTCAGCCTCAACTCAGTCCCTGGAAAATCCTGGAGCAGATCCTCAAGGAATCCATTTCTAAGCATTTGAAGGAGAAAATGGTGATTAGGAACAGTCAGCATGGGTTCACCAGGGGCAAGTCATGCCATATTTAAGAAAGGGATGAAAGAAGATACAGGGCACTACTGACTAGTCAGCCTCAACTCAGTCCCTGGAAAATCCTGGAGCAGATCCTCAAGGAATCCATTTCTAAGCATTTGAAGGAGAAAATGGTGATTAGGAACAGTCAGCATGGGTTCACCAGGGGCAAGTCATGCCTAACCAACCTGATTGCCTTCTATAATGAGGTAACTGGCTCTGCAGATTGGGGAAGACCGGTGGATGTGTTGTACGTCGATTTTAGCCAGGCTTTTGATACGGTCTCCCACAGTCTTCTCTTAGGCAAGCTAAGGAAGTACGGATTGATTGGATGGATGGACTGTAAGGTAGATCGAAAACTGGCTGGGGCATGGGGCTCAGAGCATAGTAATAATCAATGGCTCAATGTCTAGTTGGCAGCCAGTATCAAGTGGTGTGTGCCAGGGGTCAGTCCTGGGACTGGCTTTGTTCAATATCTTCATCGGTGACCTGGAAGATGGCTTAGAGTGCACCCTCAGCAAGTTAAGCTGCGGGGAGCAGTAGATATGCTGGAGGGTAGGGCTAGGATTGAGAGCTACCTGGACAAATTGGAGGATTGAGCCAGAAGGAATCTCATGAGGTTCAATAAGGACAAGTGTGAAGTCCTGCACTTAGGATGAAACAATCCCATACACCAGTATAGGCTGGGGCTGACTGGCTGGGCAGCAACTCTGCAGAAAAGGACCTGGGGTTTACAGTGGACAATAAACTGAATATGATCCAACAGTCCGCCCTTGTTGCTGTCAGAACCCATTAATTAGATGCTTGCTAGCCGTATAAGAGGTTGAAGCAGTTTCCGCCCAAGTTGGAGAACTTTACACACACCTCGTGGAGAACTCTGAGTACACTGTGGAGCCTAGCAAACTCCACCCGTGTTTCAGAGCGAACTTAGCGGCCTGATCAACCATTAAGGACTCCCCGTCACCGACCCAAGGGGGCCTAGCACACCCCCACCCGAGACGTAAGACGACTGCCGGCTTGAACACCCCGAACACCCGAACACATTTGCAGACCGACCAAACCAACTTTGTAATTTCTGCTCGACCCAAGTTTTGTTTACAACCGTAATCTAAGCAAGCTTCTGGCCTGCACTGTACGAGCAGTGTAAGTAAACAACTTTTTGTTCAATCAAAACGCTTGAGTACCTGATTCCACTCCAAGCGTCACAAGTACCCTCCCGCCGACTAGGGCTCCTAAGGCCCCGAACCCCGCGCCGCGGCTCTCGGCGGCAACAGTTGCAAAGACAGCGAACAGCATACTGGGCTGCATTGGTAGGTACCTTGCCAGTAGATCAAGTTAAATGATTATTCCTTTCTATTCAGCACTGGTGTGCCCACATGTGGAGTACTGTGTTCAGTTGTGAGCCCCTCACTACAGAAAGAATGGGGACAATTTGGAGAGTCCAGAGGAGGTCAGTGAAAATGGTGAGGGGGCTGGGGAACTTATGAGGAAAGACTGAAGAAACTTAGCTTATTTAGTCTATAGAAGAGGAGACTGTGAGGAGACTTAATAGCATGTTTTACTACCTGAGGAAAAAGAATTTAGCTAGACTATTCTCAGTGGTGGCAGATGACAGAACAAGGACCAATGGTCTCAAGTTGCAGCAAAGGAAGTTTAAGTTAGATATTAGAAAGAATTTTCTCACTAGGAGGGTAGTAAAATACTGAAACAGGTTACTCAGAGAGGTGGTGGAAGCTCCATCCCTGGAGGTTTACAAAACCCTGGTAGACAAATCTTTGGCTGGGATGATCTAGTTGTGGGTGGGCCTGCTTTGAGCAGGGGGTTGGACTAGATCACCTGCTGAGGTCCCTTCCAACCTTAACTTTCTATTCTTCTATGATATGTACTATCTGTCCTTAGTAGTGACAATAGCCTGTGCAGATTATATCTGCAAGAGTCAGTCACAAAATGGTGACTCCTATTTTTTTCTCAGGCAAATATTATTGAAAAAAGATTAAATTTGAATGGACAAGTTGTATATGGTCAGTGAAGAGAGAGCTGTTTTTCGACATGGTCTCCTTCATTAGTGGCCATTTTCTGGTGTTGCAGAAGCGGCACTTCACATATGCCTCTGTAGGGCTTCTTGCATGCAGTGTTTCATTTTCTTCCGGATCTTGCCATCTACATCAGAATTTACTGTCTCCCCTTTAGGTAAAAAGGAAAAAAAGAACACTCTCCATGTCCATGGTTAACTCGGAAGAAAAAAATTAGGAGACATTACTTTCTGACTGGGTTCCAGGTGATTTTTCTTATTTGAATAGCCTAATCATTCTCTCAGAAAGATTCGAATTTATTCCCTGTGTAGCCTGCTGTTGAGAATCTGACCTGAATTATTGAATACATGCGGAGAAAAAACGACCTAGTCATATTTTTTTACTATTATTTTCTGTTTGATGGACTGCCCTCCTTATCCGTCGTGTTTAAGTAGTACTTCTCACCTAGTACTTGGAAGAGTTTAGAAACACTTGAAAGGGTAAGAAAGACAGTGAAGGTGACTGAAAGATTTCTTTCCACTGACTTTAGTGGCTTTTCGGTTGCATATAAAACACTTCTATGTTGTACTGGGATAATGGCTTTTTCTGAGATGGTTTGCACAGTGATGGACCTCATGGGCAGAGGGTTGAATTAAAATGACTTACAGGTGACTCTTCTAGCCCCATCCCTATTTTTTTTTATTCTTTGATTCTAAGTCTTAAATAAGTGGTGTCGGTATAGAAAAACATATTATCCCCACTTCAAAAATGGGACAGGTCAGACAAGACAGATGCATAAGCCAGCTTTTTTAGAAACTTGGATTGTGCAAATTTAGCACAGAGTTTATTTACTTAAATACAGGCAGTCCTTGATTTACAACCTTTCGAGTTACAACGTTTCACACTTACAACGTTTATAAATTGCCACCTTGTTTCAACTTTATGACGTCAGTTTCGACTTTACAATGCTTGATCGGATGGGACACCACGCCAGCGAACAAATTAGCTGCCTCGCTCATCTTTCTGGAGAACATCTGTCCAAACGTCCTTGGACACTTTCTTTAAGAAAGCAGACAAGACTCCAGAAAAACCTGCAGCCAAGACTCTTGAGAAGACTCCAGCCAAGAACCCTTCCAAAAGTCCAACCAGGAGCCCTTCAAAAAGTCCAGCAAAGTCACCTCAAAGAAGTCCTTCCAAATCAATATGATTGGTATTTACAATATAAATACATTAATGTAGCTATATTTCTCATCTATAATTGATGGAGTACAAAATTCTGGGGTATTTTTGGTGAAAATTGGGTATCCGGCCTTGTTTCAGGAACCAATCCCCCATTTATAACATTGTTTCTTATGAGAAAATTGGTCCCGAGTGACAACGTTTGGACTTAAGAGGGATTTTGAGGAACCAATTGTGTGGTAAATCCGATGACTGCCTGTAAACCGTCTTATTTTCACAGCTGGAAACTAGAAAAAGCCCCACTTAAGTCCAAAAGAAGCCTTGTTGCACTTCGTGGAACACCAGCCCACTTGTTTTTCGAATTAAGGACTTAATTTTCCTTAAAGTATCCACGTTAAAAAACACGGGCCTGAGAGACTTAGAGAGAACTTCAGGGTTGAGCGTAGAAAAAATCTAGACCTCAAGACATAAGGCTCATTGCCTAGACCTGAAAATCATTCCTGTATTGCTACAGACATGTTCGAAGTGTTGCATCAGTTTTGAATATATCTTTTAATTCTGAAAAAAATTGGAGTGAGATATGTCGGGCTCTGTCCAAGTGGTAGAAAGATAATAAGAGTGGTCTTAGTTGCTTCCTCATTCTGTCAACAGTTATTTTTAACTGTAGATGAAAATACCATTATATCCCCTTGGTAACTAACAGACAGTTACGGGCCTGCTTCTCTTGGTTTCACTGCTCCTGGTTATCCCGAGCAAAATTATCGAAAGTCTATTAAACTTTTTTTTTATATTATTTTTATCAAACCATCGATTCTGTAACGTTGATATATTCTAACACCGAAACAATCTTTAACGTTGCTCTGTCCCACAATTAATTCTTTGGGTTTTTTCGCCTGTCCTACCGAGGCTCCCCTTGTCAATAAAAAAGGTTCTCTTTTCATAAATACAAAATATTCAGGGGGAAAAAAAGTGTAGTTCCTCTCATAACGGCCTTCTGCATTGTTTTCTGTGGTTCATTGAGCCTGCAGTTTTCCAGCGGAGACTCTGAGTGCCGCTGTTGGCCAGTACGGAGCCGCGCTGGGGCCGGGGATCTATCAGAGCCTCAGTGCTACGATCGCTCAGTCGCACCGCGCAGATCTCGGAGGATACGGAGCAGAGACGCCGTGTATCTCTCGGATTGCAGGTATAAAACCCAGCGGCGGCTGGGTTCTATTTGCAATTCAAAAAGGGATTCTTGCAGCCTGAGGAAATGTGGAAGTGCGATTCGATTCAGAGCAGACAGGGCAGCGAAACTCCAAGATGGAGAGGGACTGAGATGGCAAGCGGGCTCAGACAGAGCGGCCGGGCGAACCAGGCGGCAGGTACTGCTCTGTCCCTTCTTGCTGTCTCTGCTCTGCGGGGCGGTCTCGGCGCAGATTCGCTATTCGATCGCCGAGGAAATGCCCAAAGGGTCCCTCGTGGGCAATCTCGCCAAGGATCTGGGGCTGAGTGTAAAAGAACTGCCCGATCGCAGCCGCGGGCTTGTCTCTGCTGCCGGAAGACAATACTTCACTGTGAAGGGCGAAAACGGGAACCTGTATGTGAGTGACCGGATAGACCGAGAGGACATCTGCGGGGAAGCAGCCCTTTGCTTCCTGAACTTGGAAGTCGTGGTTGAAAATCCTTTGAATGTTTTTCACGTGACTGTCCTAGTCCAGGACATTAACGACAATCCGCCACGATTCACTAAAAGCAAGATGAATTTAGAAATCCCTGAATCGGCACCACTGGGGGCGCGATTTCCCTTAGAACCTGCTCAGGATCCAGATGCTGCCACTAATTCTTTACATAGCTACCAGCTCAGTCCAAACGATTACTTTGCCTTGGAAATGAAGGAAAATCCGGATGGCAAAAAATACACAGAATTAGTATTGCAGAAATATTTGGACAGAGAAGAAAAGAAAACTCTTAAATTAGTATTGTCCGCAGTAGATGGCGGGGAACCAGTCAAAACCGGGAGCACTGAAATCAGAATTAATGTCACTGACGCCAATGACAATCCGCCCGTCTTCAACCAGGAGGTCTACAAAGTCAAACTGAAGGAAAATCTGCCAAGAGGCTCCTTTGTGCTGAATGTGAAAGCCACCGATGAAGACGAAGGTTCGAATGCGGAAATCATTTACGTGTTCAGCAACCTCCCACAGAAAGCAAAATACCTGTTCAGTTTAGATCCGGGCAACGGAAGCGTTACAATAAAGGAGACTCTGGATTTTGAGGAGAAGAACAGCTACACAATGAAGGTGGAAGCCAGGGACGGGGGTGGTCTGTCGTCCTCCGCCAATGTGAAAATAGAGATTCTGGACGAGAACGACAATGCGCCCGAGGTGACCTTCACCTCCGTGTCCAGCCCCGTCCCCGAGGACTCCCAGAGCGGCACCGTGATCGCGCTGATCCATGTCAATGATCCGGATTCGGGACAAAACGGAGAAGTGGCCTGCCGCATTCCGGACAACCTGCCCTTCAAGCTGGTGTCGTCCTCCAAGAACTACTACAAGCTGGTGACCGCCGGCGCCCTGGACAGAGAGCGCAGCCCCGACTACAACGTCACGGTCACGGCCACGGACAAGGGCGCTCCGCCGCTCGCCACCACCCAGACCGTCCGGCTCCAGGTCTCGGACGTCAACGACAACGCGCCGCTCTTCGACGAAGCGTCGTACAGCGCCTACGTGGCGGAGAACAACCCGGCGGGGGCCTCGCTTCTCCGCGTGCGAGCCTCGGACCCCGACCTGGGCCGCAACGGCCGAGTCACCTACTCGCTGGTCAGCCCCGACGGCGGCGGCGGCGGGGGACGGA